GCCCCAGAGGCAGGAGCCGACCCTTCCGTTTCCAGCAATAGCCGCTGGAGCTCGGCTCCTTTTCCAGGGAAACTGGCAGAGCTTGGAAGCAGGGGAGCTGCTGGGCCCCTCAGGCTGAAGGGGCTCCCCCCACCCCAGCTCCAATGGTGCTAGGGGGTCCTCCGCTCGCTCTCCCTTGCCTGGCCTTCCTGGGAGGGGCGGGGGGGGGGCTAAGCGCTGCCACAGCCCAGGCCTCCCGGTTGTTGCCCTTCCTTATGGCCCAGCTGGCAACCCCCCCCCCCTTCCCTGGGACCGGGGCAGTCGGGGCGGCCCAGTTTTGAGGAGGAGATTTTAGGCCATTCCTCTGCCAGGAAAGGCGGGCTGTCCCCGGAGGAAAGGTGGTTTGTTTTATGTAGCAAAATTATCTCAGTGAGATACATCTCCTCTTATTCTCTTACCTGAGAATCTTACAGCAGGAAAAGTCTGTGCTTGCCTCACTTCTTGGTGCATCCTCACTCATGTGCATGCGGTGGTGTTCTCGGCTTGCCTCGTTCGTGCTAGTTAGACTCCCGTCAGCCACCCCTCCCTCCCTCCCCTCCCCTCCCCGGGGGCCGGTTCTGCACAACCAGATTGGTGCGGGGAATTGCCCACTCGCTTCACCATCCTGCCAGGCTCAAAGGTCGCCCTCAGCCAGATGCTGCTTCTTCCCCAAGCAGGCGAAGGAGCCACTTGTGGCGCACCTGGACTCTCCATAAATCCCCCCCCCAATCCATTGGCCCAGCTTTCGAGGAGCGTTTCGTTGTCTGTTGGACCGCTAAGGAGAGTGGATAGGTCTTGCCGCGTAGCATTTCAGTTCATTTTTTTTATTGGAAGTGCTCAACATTTGTTTTTTAATGTTTTCAGGAACAATAAAACATTTTCTATGAAATCTGACTCCAGAAGCACATTCTTGAGAGCTCAAGGGTCTCCATTCTGGCTTGGCCTGGGGAGGGGGGGGGGGCCTCTGGGAGCCCTCCTGGCCTGGACACAAGTTAACTGATGCTGCCCCTTTGGCTCTCGCCCTCCTCTGCCCCTCTGGAGCCAGTGCGCCTCTTTGGGAAAGAGCGAGGATCCTGGGCTGAGAGAGGGCTGCCCGCCTCTTCCTCCCTCCCACGAAAGTGGCATTGGGGCTGGAGGTGAGCTGGACTGGACGGGGAGACCTGGTGGCCACAGGGTTCAAGGGGGGTCCCGAGTTCAGCAAAGTGGCAAGAAGGGAGGAGGCAGCTGGGCTCTTAATGGTAACAACCCCAACCCGGTAATGCTTCCGTGGGAGAGTGGGGCAAGGTGGCTGGGTGGGAGGACAGCCGTGGCAAGTTTGTGTGTGGGCCCCCTCCCCGAGGGAAGCTTATGGTCACGATTCCTGTGGCCTCCCACCCGTGAGCCTCATTAGGCCGCCCCCAAGAAAGTGCCTCAGGGAGGCCGCCAAAGAGGAAGCCCTGGAAGACTTCCACAGGCCTGCAAAGACCCCCTGGCTCCCACGGGGAGAGACCACCGTGGCGGAGCAGGATGTGATCCTGGGGGATCCCGGGGTGGGCAGGCCTGGGTTTCTAGTTGCTGCAGAGAAGCTGGCTGCTCTTCCTAATCTTGGGAAATTGTTTCCAAGTGGAAACGCAGACAAAAGTGGAAATTGTTCAATACGTGGTTCCAGTTTTATGAATGGTGTCCACCAGGAGCCCCCTGGTAGCAGTGGCTGAAGGGCAGCATTGCAGGCAAACTCTTGCCCACTGCCTGGAATTTGATCCTGACTGGGCACAAGGGGAACTCGGCCTTCCATCATTCTGAGGCTGATCGAGGTGGATAAAATGAGGACCCAGATTGTTGGGGGCTGACATTGTAAACCTCTGGGGGTGCTCCAAGGCATTGTGGACCGCAAATGTTATGCTATCTAATGATGAGGCTTCATTGCCACCTTCTCTTGGCCTCTGGTTCTGCTTTGGGGCCTCCAGCCATCCTTCAAGCACACCCCTCCTGTTCCCCCAAAGTAGAGAAGGCCAAACTGGGGGGGGGAGCAGGATGGAGGTGAAAATCCCCTTTGGGACAACCGTGACCAACCAGGCTGGTTGAGACTCCACAGACTTGTACTGAAGGCGCTTAATACCTTTTCCGCAGTTCAAAGGCAATGCTGGAATTCCCAAAGCCAGGATCTCTGCAATTCTCCCCCTTTTCCGCCAGAGGGCAGAGGACCTCCAAGCAGGGTCCCTTGATCTTCCGCTCTGTCCAGCCCAGAAGGGGGCGCCTGAAATCCACGGAACCAGGCCGGTTCCCAAAGCAGCAGGTTCCGTGGATGCCGGGGGCCGAGTTCTTAGGCTTCTAGATGGACCGGCCCTGCCCTGCCCTGCGGGGCGACCTTCCCTGTCAGCGGAAACCCCGAAGGCGCTTCTCCAAAGGCCCCGGAGTTGCTCGCCTTTTTCCTTTGAAATCCTTTCGCTCCTCATCCAAGACGCCCCGGAGCAGCCCGTCTCGAGTGAAGCTCCGCGGCCTCTTCGGCGGAAGGTTCCGTTGTCCTGGGAGCAGCTTCAAGAACAAAAGGCCGGCAACCACCCGGGGGAGGAGAGCATGGAACCCGCAGCCGGCTTGCAAGCGCAGGCGCGCCGAGAGCGCCGCCTCAAGCTGGGCTCCCTCGGGCCTTCAAGGAGCGGCCGTCGCGGAGCTGCTCCTCGGGGTTGCGCGAAACTTTGCCGGCCACAAAGAGGGCAGAAGTTGAAGCGTGGCCGGATTGCCGAGGACGGGGCTGCTGGGGGCCTTCGCTCCGCTCCCGGCTTCTCTTGCCACCGAAGGCAACGGAGACCTTCGGCCCAGCCGGCTGCCCAGAATGATCCGCGCGGCCCCCGGCGCTCGCATCGCCTGCAAAGCAACGCCGCCACTTCTTGCGCTTCCTCGGGCTGAGGACGCTCCCCGCCTCCCTCCCCCCCCCGCGCATTCCGGGGGGTTTGGAGGCGACGGACAGACTCCGCTCAGGCGCGGCCTCCCCCGTCCCCTCCGCTCGCTCGGGCCGGGCTGGGAAAGGCCACCGAGCGCCCAGGAACAAACTGCGTGGCTGGCGGAGCTTTCGGGGTCCGCAAAGCCGCGCTGGGAGGCGGCGGGCGGCGGAGGAGCAAGCGGCCGAAGCCGGGGGCCTTTGCGCGCCTCGCCTCCCGCCGCCCTTCAAGCGATGCGCGGCCGGCCAGGGACAGGCTGCCAGTGCGCGGGGCCGGCAGCGGGCACGCGCCTCCCTCCCTCCCTCCCTCCCTCCCGCCGCCTCTGACCTGCGGGGCCTGCTCCGGCCTCGGGGGGAGGGGCGAGCAGGGGGTCGCTGGCCCCTCCCCGGCCGCGCCGACGGCCAATGGCGAGCGCCGCAAAAGTAGCGCCGGACCCGCGGCGCGTCCGGGAAGCCTCGCGCCCTCCGCCCGGCCCGGCCTGCCCTCCCCCGCCGGACCCGCAGCGCCCCTCCCCGCTTTTGTGTGCCCGTCTGACCGCGCGCGGCCGGAGAGGAGGTAGAGGCCGGCCGCGGCAGCGAAGCCATTGGGGCTGCGGAGCCAGAGGTCGCGCGGCTGGCCGGCCGGGGAGGGCGATGCCCGGAGAGCCCGCCGTTGTTCGCTGTTAAATGGCGCCCCGCCGGAGCCCTGGCCTCGCCGCCGCCGCCCTCTTCCTGCTCGCCGCCCTCCCAGGTGAGTCCCTTCCCGGCCAGGCGGCGCGCATCTGACCCGGCTCGCCCGGCGCCTCCGGCCCCGCCAGCAGCCCACGAGAAGAAACGCCGCCGCCGCTGCCCAGCCGGCTCGCTGGGCGCACGTGCGCTCTGGGCAGGCAGGCGGCCCTTGGCGAGCCCCGACGGGGGGAGCGCGCTCCTGCTGGAAAGCCGGCCAGTCCGGGGAAGGCCAGAGCCTCGCCTGACTGCGCGCCGGCCGTCCGCTCGCTGCTGCCCGGTCCCTCCCGCGGCTGTGCTCCCGGAGAGCGGCGCGCTGCTTTCGCCCGGCTGCCTGCTTCGCTCAGGAAGCCTCCCCGGCGGGTCCCTTCGGGTGCCTCCCCACCGACGACCCGCTCCCCACCTCCTTCCAGAAAGGGAGCTCGGCCGGGCCCCTCCGCCGGGCGGCCCTGCTTGCGGGGAGGGCTTGGTCCCCCGGAGGGCCCCGCTTTTCAGGAGCTGCCGCGTTGGGGGGGGGGGCAGCGGAAGACCCAGCCATTTCTCCCCAGGGTCCAAGGCTGCTGGCCACGGTGGGGCCCCTGGGGATGTTGGGTTGAAAGAGGGTCAAAGGCCTCTGGCCCAAAGAGCCTTTCCCTGCTCACCTTTGGCTCCTCTCGCTCTCTTAGGGGTCAGGAGCTTCAGTGAACTGTTTTTCGTAAAAGAGCCTCAAGATGTGACCCTGGCCAGAAAGCAGGCGGTGGTTTTGGACTGCCTGGCCCGAGGGGAGGTCCCCATCACCATCACCTGGCTTAGAAACGGAGTTACGGTTTCTGAGAACGAACAGATCCACTCTCTGTCCAACGGCTCTTTATTTATACGGGAGCTGGAGAGCGGCAAGCCAGGCGAAAGGCCGGACGAAGGAGTCTACCAGTGCTTGGCCCTGAATAAACACGGCGCTGTTCTCAGCCAGAAAGCGCATCTCACCTTTGCAAGTAAGTTTCCACCACTTCCTTTGAGGGTCAGTTCCAGGACATTGCGGGGCGGGGCCTCTGGTTTGGGGCAGGTTGACCTGTCCTGGGGTGCTTTGTAGAAGCAGGTGTGTTCCGTGCTCTGGGCCTTCTCCTCCCACCTGTGCCCGCCTTCCCAGCGGAGGCAGCCAAGGCCCTGGGATCTTGGGGTAGGTTAACTTCTCAGATTCCCTGCGTTTTCTCTGCTTGTCTGTAAGGCAGATAAAGTGGGTGGGGCCAAAGATGCCTTCAAGGTCTCTGGGTAAAATCTGCCTGTCAGTTGTTGAAATGAGCCTGCAACCCCATCGTTGCAGGGCAGTTTTTACACATTTGTTTTAATGCACGTCTGGTCTTTATTCCAATTACATTTTAAGGTTAAAGGTATTCCCTACTTCTAAATGGTGGTACAGAATAATTCAAGAGATAAGCTGGGTGTGGAGGTTGCAGGCTTTTCGGTGGAGGAGTCCTAAGGAGTCCTATTTTGTCCTTGTGTTCGCTCCCCTGCTTTGCTTTGTCTCTCAAAAGGAGCTGCAAGAAAGGATCTTGGGAATCCCTCTGTGCCCTCCGGCAGGTCCTTTCCCCCAGCTGCTCCATGACCAGGGAACCCTTTGCCCTCAGGGCACGCAGGGGGGGGGGACGTCCCAATGCTTGCAGGAAGGACCCTTTGCCCAGCATCCCTCAAGCAATGCAGCGGGATCCAGCTGTGGGGTGCAGGGGGGGGGGCTGTCCTTCCTGCCATCCACACGGCAGTGTCAGGCCGGAAAGGGGGGAGGTGTTGATGAAGGTAAGGGCCAGCAGCAACAGCTCCCCCTTTGATCTGGCAACAGAGCTGGCCTTTCCGGGGAGGGGGTGTCTCTTCTGCAGCAGGATTTTCCTCTTCCCCGGGAGCTAATAAACCTGTAAGTGGCTGGGAGGGAGGTTTGGGGCTGTCTTGTGGAAACTGGGATGAAAGGACATTTATACTGTGCCTTCAGGAATTAAGAAAATACCTCATTGGGGTGATTGTATGGAGTGTTCAGTGACCAGGAGCAGCAAAGCAGCAGCACGTTATGCTCTCCAGAGAGAGCCTAAAGGAGACCCACCACCCCTCCCAACTTTTGCCAGCTTTTCAGAGGCTCCAGGGAAGGCCTTTTGCAGGTGCACAACATTTGGGTTGTCGGTTGGCCAACTCCAGAGTTCGCCTGTCTCCACGAATTGGCCCTGTGCCCAAAGCGTCTTAGCCTCCTCCAGCTGTGCTTGGCAGCCTTGCTCCTTGAGCTCTTCTGCCTTGGACTTCGTTGATGTCCTGCAGTTGTGTGGCTCCTTCTCCTGGGTATCTCTGGAAGACACCAAGCAGGGGGTGTTGCATTGTTGGGCCTCCCCATTATTTCCAACAATTTGGAGCTCTGCATTGATGATAAAAGCACTTTTCCTGCAGATGGGAAGACTGATAGCGTTTGAATGTTTTGAATGGCCTTTTCCTTGTGTGCTTCAAATATTGCATGTCCAAACTCTGATGTCCATAACTCCTACAATTAATGTGAGGAAGCTGAAAGTAGGGGGAATTAAGCTGCCCGTTGTCTGCTGTGAGGGTCCTTGGGGGATGGGTGGTTGAATCTCCAGCATTTTGTGCTGGGAGGAAAGAGTTTCCCTTGGTCTGTGATGGCTTTACAGCCTTTAAGAACAAAACGACTTTCTTCTTTGTAGCTAAGCTGAACCCCCACATTCTCAGCAGGTGGAGGAGGGGCCTTCCTGCTCTTCCCTTCCCTTCCTCTGGAGAAGCATGGGGGGGGTCCCCGCCCACCTCCCCCCCGTGGATCTTTCTTCAGACTTTCAGCACCTTCCTGTGCCTCGAGTGCAATCCTGGGTGCTGCCTGTGGAATTCTAACACTTTAATCTGCCATGGAGTTTAAGGCCCCAACACAGAGGGAGCCTAAAAAGTTAGCCAGGAAGTGGAGTCTTGTTGCACTCTCTGCAACCATTCCATTATTCATGTGCAAATTAAGGACTCGCTGGGTTAAAAGGTTAGAAACTGGCCAGGATGAGGTTTAAAAGAGCAGATGACCTCCTCCTCCTCCTCAGGGTGGAGATTTCCATGTCAACTCCTCAGTGATTGCCCTGGATTGTTCCTGAGGAATGCGCGCACACACACACACACACACACACACACACACACCCCTTATCTTGAGAGGCCATCAAAGTGATGGCATTCTGCAAGGGGGGGGGCTGTCTTGGGGGCAGGAAATGATGGGTCTCACATCTAGGCAGCTTCTTCCTTACCTCCCCCTTTTACAGGGGGCCGCAAAGATAAGATAGTGACCAGGCAAAGCCAACAGCAGGGGCTTCTCCTGCACAGCGGGATAATTGAGAGTGGTGGTGGGGGGGGGGAGGTTCCTCCTCTCCATTTTCTTTGTGAGGCACCAAGTGAGGGTAAAATGCTAATATCATCGGAAGAAGAAGATTAAGGGGCTGGGGGCTGGGCTTCTCCTTTGAAGTTGAGGCCAGCCCCGGCCCTACCTGCCCTGTGAACTAAGAGGAGCCGAGAGGGACTCTGCAGTCTTCAGCTTGGCTGGGGAAGTGGCCCCCTGTGCCCTGGTCTCTCAGCAGGCAGGACTCGGACTAAGGGAGAATCCGGGAAAACACTGCAGACCCGCCTGAAATTATTTCAAACAAACGGCTGTTTTTCAGAGAGAAGAAATTGGCAGATTCATCTACTTTACTACATTTCTAAATGGCTTTGCAATTCCTGTTCACAGGTGCAAAAATGACAACATTTTACTCTCCCAGCCTAACTCGCTTCTCAGGGTGGTGGTTGTAGGGAAGTAGGTTGACATTTGCTACCTTGAGTTATTTGTAAAAATAATAAAGGTGGGATATAAGTAAATAAAATAAATAATGAGAGTGAGGGCTGCCCTCCCCGGCCAACCTTTTGTCTGAGACCGGCCCATGGGGGCTGCTTCCTTTGCTCCTGGCCCCATTCACCACTAGTGGCAGTGGATTGCACACACACACACACACCCCATTCCGCCTGGAGGTAGCACCCAGGCACAGGCCTGGCAGTCGAAGCCACCGGAGCCCGTGACCCAGACCAGCTGCGTGGCAGCATCAGAAGGGCCCCATAGGAGCCAGGCAGGAGAAAACAAGGCAAGCAAAGGGGGTTTCCCATTGGCTGGTTTGGCTTTGGCTGTGGAGACCCAGGAAAACGGCAGTTCTGGAGAATTCTATTTCCTCCAAGAGTTCCTCCTGAAGTTCAAGGAAGGGGGAACAGTCTGGTTTCCTCCTGCTTTTTCAGCCTCACGGATGTTGTTGCTCTGGGCGAGGAAGGGAAATTCTTGACTGGATCCATCCTTTCTCTCCCTCTTACCTGTTTTAGCCTCCAAGGGAGACTTCCAGGTTTTGGAGAATACAAACCTTTGTTATTCACGGCCTCCTACAGCACCAGTAATTAGCTATAGCTATATATTAGACTTATATAATGCTTCATAGGGCTTGAACTGCATAGGCCTCTCTAAGCGGTTTACAGAGTCAGCATATTGTCCCCAACAACAATCCGGGTCCTCATTTTACCCACCTCGGAAGGATGGAAGGCTGAGTCAAC